TTATAGGCGCTTTCCGGTATGGCTTTGAGTTCCCTCTGCGAATTCTGTTTTACGTCTTCTATGGATTCAAAACGCGTTCCTCTGAGTGGTAATTTGAGGTTGGGAAACAGGAAAAAGTCACACGGTGCAAGATCAGGTGAATACGGTGGCTGTTCGATGGTATTTATTGAATGTTTGGCCTTAAAATCGTTGATAATGTTGAACAAATTGAGGTGAATCGGAACAAGCCGGGCGTTGACACGTCGCATACACAAATTGTCCACCAAAATCAAACGAGCCATCTCACGACCGATGCCTAGCTCTCGTGCTATCTCTCTAACACTCACATGAGGATTTTTGAACACGATTTCCTTTGCCTTTTCAATGTTTTCGTCGGTGGTAGAGGTCGAAGGTCGTCCAGAACGCGGCATGTCTTCGACGGTCGTACGACAGTCCTGAAAGGCTTTGTACCACTCATAAACTTGAGTTTTCGATAAAACTGATTCCCCATAAGCCTTTTGTAGCATTCGCAACGATTCTGCACACGAAATTTCGTTCGAAAAACAAAATTTGATGCAAACTCTTTGTTCAATATTTTTTTCCATTGTTTTTTTCGCAACGCACTACTGAGGTGAACTGGTTTCAACAGCTGCCGTAAACGAACTGTCCGACAGACTCGCGCTCATTTTTGGCATAGTAATTAAGGACAGTGCTGCCAAACTACATAAACTTAAAATATCGAAAAATATACAGCGCGCGAATTTTAAATGAGAACCTCCGAAAACTTTTCGGTCACAATGTATATTAAGTGAGAGCACCAATGCTACTGTTCAAAATTTTATATAATTTATATTTTTGATCATTTTAGATATTTATATTTATGTACATATATACTGAGTTTATACTTATATATATAATATTTATGCTTAAATAAAGAAACAATACTCACAAGAAAAACATATTTGACGTTTAATGGAACATGTAGTTGTATAATTTTTAAATTGGCTATATAGAATTTTAGTTTTAAGAACTTTTCGTAATAATTGTACTGGGTCTCTCATTATTTTGTTATATCGCTATTTTAAGAGTACAACTTTTATCAATACATTTCATTGATTCTTGAATTCTACACCTCTTTTCATTATTTCGAAAGGCGTAAATTCTACCTCGCTGTTGAACTAATTAAGGTTGTCAATATGCTCTATTGATTATAGGAGTCTTTGCTTCAAGAACACCAAACAAGAATCTACGAATAATAAGTATGCAACTGTCTTTTCTACGCGCTTATGAACTTCTTCACTTCAAAGAATTTAACTTTTTAGTTGCATAATTTGTGTATTTATTGATAAGACATAGTATCAAAGAGGCTTTGGAAATAATTAAGGTTGTTAATATGTTCTATTGATTGCAACGGTCGTATCAGTCTGTTCTGTTGTTTATAAGAGTCTTCATTCTTTTTCATTATTTCGAAGAATATTGATTCCGTATTCTTTTTCAACTAGCTTTGGATATTCTAACAATCATGTTCCACCTCATCCATCACTAAAAATATTAAAATAAATTTAGCTTAACCCGATTTTTTTTTTCCATTATTTAGAAGAATATTGATTCCATATTCTTTCAACTAACTTTAGATATCCCAACAACCTTGTTCCACCTCATCCACCACTAAAAATATTAAAATAAATTTAGCTTAACCCATATGAAATATTGCAAATGATTTAATGTAGTAAACACCGAACGTAGTGCCCATTATGTCGCATTATGTGATAGAATTTGATACTGATTGCATACTTTTTACATTATAAATTGTTTTAATTTTATTTTTTATTATGTAAATATATTTTTTTTTTAAATACCAAAGTTTTAAATTTTAAAATTCAGCACAGGTGCATTGATTGAACGCCTATTAAGAAGCACTGTTATGCTGCATTATGTCGCTATGCTAACATATGCTGGCACACCTCCATCAATATACTCCATCAGTGTACTTCATATATGCACCCTTTTAAATGCTTAACTGTATCTGAACTCCTTTAAATTCAATTTATTTAAAAAAATCTCTTTTTTTATTGCTTTTTTCCATAGTTTACGGCTTTTTTATGTCGTTTCAGTTGATTCGCTTTCAATGAACTTGCAGCCAAAAATTCACAAAACAAAAATGAAGTGCGTGATAAGCGTTTGTTTGGGGTTCAATATTCACAAATACCAGTGCATACCGAACGATCGATACAATCATAAAATAGTTGCCAACAGTTTAGCTTTAGTTGAAGCAAGCAATAACTCAGTTGCTGCTGCTGCTGCTCTTGCTGGTGCCTTTCCTGTTGTTGCTACCGCTGCCGCTGCCACATGAATTTCAGTTTGATTGCTTCATTGCATGACTTGATTGCATTTTGTTGTGTTTTAGTAGATTTATTTTTTTTGTTTTTACCAGGTTTTAGTAGTACTGAAAATTTTATTATACTTCATTCTGAGCCGCACATTAACTTGTCTAACTCGCCAACCATCCAGTCCCCATTACCACTTGTCCGTCTGTTGGCTTATAAATTTGTTCGTCATTCATCCGTTCGCATGCACTTCCGTTCTACTCGCATTGTCGTTACTGGTATGGCGTTGCTTTCAGTTGTACTGTTGCTTGACGGCGCTTTTATTGGTGGTCGGTCAATGAAGGCCAATGAGTTATTGTTTTCGTTGCAACAACAGCCAAAACAGCCAAAACAACAAAAATATACTTAATAATTAATGTACTTTCTGCATTGTTGATTCATAGTTTTTTGTTTTTGTTTTTGTTTTTGTGTTTTTTTTTATTGTTAGAAATTTTGTTTATGTTCAGTGTTTTTGGTTTTTATGTTTTAGCCAACCCAAGCCGTCGAGTTACGCCAAGCCGGTAACAAAAATTGGCCAAATGCAGCGAACGTCGCCACTTGGCAATCGCTATAGGAAATTGATTATGTTCTGTATTGACGTATGACGTGGTAATTACAGTGCAATGAGACTTCAAGTACAGTAAAAAGTATATAAAAAACGGTTAAAATGGCGTACACCGAACGATTTGCTGCAATTTGTGGCCTCTAAAATATTTATCAGTTCCTTACCTCTTAGTTAGAAAAACTGTATATTACCTTAATTATTGTGCAAGGCTGTATATGATAACATATTTACGTCATATATGCTATCCATTAATATTGAGCTTACCTTCATAATTTTAGTACATTATCTTAATCAGTTATTTTAACAAAATCATTTCAAAATAGTTCTTAAAGTATTTTAAGTACCATTTTATGGTAAATCTTAAGTAAAGATTTTCTTCAGTTAAATTCTTTTAAACAATTTTCGTGTTATTATTTTTTCAAGTGTGTGTTGGTATATGTGTGTGGCTTAAGAGTAACTATTTGAGCTTAAAGATTTCCGCATCTATTGAATTACAGACAATTTCAGTGTTCGTGCCTAACTTCAGTTAATCGCTTGAACCCTGTGGGGCACGATAATTTACCATAAAATATGCCAATCAGTGCTCAAACCTATTGAGGAGATTGACCTTAGTCGTAGTCGTAATAGTTTTATGAACGAAATATTGTTAACTCATTAATTGTATTTCACATCGAGTCGTGAACTTGGCCCACATAAAGTGATGTCTCATTGCATTGCCAGCTAGCCTGTTTATTTACAAGTCGAAGCACTTATGCATTTTTCATGCCCGATGTAAAATATTTCATTAAGGTTTTATATAGTTGCAACAAAGTTTGGAGAAAACTTAATTATCTTTGTTAATTAATAAATTGATTTTAATTAATTAAAATATTTGTAAATTTTGTTTGGAAGACCTATGGGTGATTATGTGTACTTTTATCTAAACATAAACTGAAATCGTGTCACTTAAAACACATTAATCAAAACCTCTACTGCATTTATTTTAAATTAAATTCAAATTAATCAATTTTTCAGTTTAATTTTGTAAAACTTAGTTACACACACACACAAAAATTTTGAATACAATATAAAAACTTTATATTGCTTAATTTATATAGTAAGTTTTATGTATTCTGTATATTTACTTTTTACAAATATTTGCTGCAATAAACTTTTTTTCAGTCATCCGTTTGATACTAAAAATGTCTATAACAGAAATTTTTTTCAATTTTTTTTACTAAACTATATTCTCTTGTTTGTTTAATGCTTTTATATAGCACTTTAGCTAGCTTTACTTACTTGGAATGCAGTAAGATTAAGTGTTATGATTTCGGTTTAGTAGTATTTAAGCAGTGTTATATTTTCCATATTAATAATATTAAATATTTCTTATCAGAACAAACAAAAAATTTTAAACCCGGTTTATAGGGATAGAGATAATAATATAGTACAATGAGTCAACTGTTAGCTACCAGCAGGCTACCTCTCAGATACTCGTATTTAAAATCTCTTATAACAAATAGGAAAAGTTGACAATTCTGCATAGTGGGGTACTGCCAGAAGCTTCATTCTAGTTGTTAGTATACTAACAGATTATGATTTCATGGGTAAATATGCAGGAACTACATATAGTACAATAATTACCAATTTCTCTGTCCGTCTATGACCTATCTCTCAAGTGCTCTTATGGGAGAAATTGACAATTCTTAGTACTAGTACTTAGTACTAATAATTGTTAGTTCAGTAACTGGTTATATAATTATGCAAGAAAACTATAACGCTTTATTTAGCAACATTTTAGTTATACAGATAACGAAGAAAACATATCGCATTTGCTCCATAGTCCTTGGTCAACGAAAAATTTAATTTACTAAAAATAATAAAATTTTGTTGTTGCAATTTACTACTATTCGAAAACCCCTATATTAAAACAATAGTTTTCATTAAAAAAACAACAATTTTTTGCATCATAACTGACGTTAAAAATCATTTTTAAATAATTGCATATTTTATGCATTGAAGTAAAATTTTATTTAAATAAATACTGGAAATTAATTTTGTGTAATAATAAAATATATTTTACATACCAATAAATTTTTCTATAACATATTTACGGTATAATAATAGTACATTCAGGCTAAAGTATTCATCATAATAAATACCAATTAATGGCTTAATAAACAAAAAATCATAAAATCATAAAATGTCATTTATAAAAATTAATAGCATTTATTATAATATAAATCATGATACAAACTAATAGTTATGACAGTCGAACTATAATACTAGCTTTATTAGTTAACAACACTAGCGTTAAAGCGCAGTGTTGTATTTGAATTGTATGTTAAGTATATTCAATTTAATTAATTTGGGTGAACTTATTGTTTTGCGTCATATGTAATAAGTTTATACTATATGACATATTCAATTCAATAAATTCTAGAGATCTTATTGGTTTGTATCATACCTTCTTTTATTATAATAAACCTAAATTATTTGAGCACTAAATAGAGATATTCCAATTAATATAAAAAGTCAATCCCAACTTGAACATACTATAATATCTCTACAGAATTATTTTAAACGAAATTGTATTGATTGATTGATCTATACTTTATACTATTCCCAAGTTTATTTCAATTTAATGAGTCTAATTTACTATTTTAAGTATGCCATTACTGAGAAATGAAAAATAATTCAACTTTCAATCAAATAAATTCGAACAAACGCAACAGTTTAAATAGCATTCTGTCAAATTACGCTTACATTTCACTTAATCTGTGCAAAATCATACAAAATCTATTTAATCCACTAAACCACATGTCAAGTAAATGAAATACAGAACAAAAAGTTAATCCATCTCTAATTTAAATGCGCTTTACCCTATGCCAGTGCTACAGTATCTCAATAAAATTGTATAAAACATGCCTGGCGTACCATTTATTTTCGTAATAGCTCAATTGAGATTAGCTTCAATGAGCCTGTCAATGTCAATTAGTTAAGCACGCATAATGTAAACGCGGTACATACAAACTAAATGAGCCCAAATAATATTTTCGAATCTCAACATAGAAATCTTTCAATTAAATTTATTTTTTTTTTTCGGGGTATAATTATGCATACGTCCCGTCTCATGCTCGCTCGCATGAAGACCTTATTAAAACCAGTCTAATCCAAAAAGCAACAAAAACTTAGAAGCCAAGCTGTTAACTTTAGCTCATGACTTCATCGCGTTAATAACCACTCTTCATCAGTAAAAGGCAAAAGCCTTAGAGGAGACACCGCCACTTTCAAAAGCAAAAACTCCATACCCACAAAAAACACAAAAAAATTATATTAAGGAATTTTAATAGTTACTTTCCTAAATTGTTCTTTTTTATCATCATTATCATCATCATCACCATTATCATTAATTAAAATAAGCAATCATGGTCAAGTTGTTGGCCATAACGATTTTTACCATGATAATGTTAAGCATGATGATGTGCAAAAAAATATTTCAATTTATATTTTTTTATTATTTTTTTCACATTTTATTTTTTTTTTGTAAATATTTTAGTTTTTATTATGTATTTATTTTATTATTATTTTTTTTTTTTTGTAAATTTCCCACTTTTTTATTGTTGGTGCTCACATTTTCAAGTGTATTTACCTAACTTGTCTATGCCATAAATCTTGTTAACGCTTGTGTCTGTTTTTTATTATTTTTTTAAAAGGAATTTTTTTTCTTTAATAAGATTTTATTCCTTGAGGCATTTTAATGAAATTATAGACATTTGATTATAGTGTTAAACGTTCGAGAGGTAAAAGCACAGAACTGTTTTCAAGTGTAAATTTAGGAAACTTTCAACCCGTCCACAGATTACAAGTATTTCTGTCCATTTTATTTATTTTCTATGTTTTTATTATTTTTTTAAAGACTAACAATCTTTTTCGTAAAGTAATAAATTCAAAAAGTGGAGTATACTAAATCTTAAAAATGGGATTCAATCTCAAAGTTTTTATATTAAAATTGATTAAAAACTTTTAGTAAGTGCTCAAAAAAACCATAAAAGGTTAAAAGAAATATTAATTATAAACCGTAATATAAATAACTAACAGCTAATAAACACTATTAATTATAGTATTTATAAATAAAACAGAAATATATGGATATATATAAAGAAAAAAGTTGGTTATTATGTTTGGTTAAGATAAAAGCTGTTGGGAGTAAAAGAATCAAGGAACGATTATGATTTACTTGTACAGAAAATACAAAACAAAAAAAAAAGACATTATCAAGCATTCACTGATTGAACTATAAATTGAATGATTAAACAAGCCAAACCTCGAAAATGTTATATTCATATTTATGCTTAACGAGATGTGAATGTCAAGCAAATAAGTAATTTCAAATGAGTGTATGATTGCGCTCAAAAGCGAATATTAAACGCTAAGTGGTTT